GCGGGTTGGCGTACCGGGGATTATCCAAACCCGAAAGAACCGGGAAAGCATTTTGGACGTTTTCGGGTCGTATTTAGATGGCGTCGGGCCTGGGTGAAACTGACCTACTTACAACTAGGTTCAACCTAGGTCAAACTAGGTTTTGCTTAATTGACCAAATAGCCCTGACCAATTGTCTCGATTAGGTTGTTTGCAACTAAAATTATAAATAGAAGTATTCGTGTATGAGTATATATATATATATATATATATATATATATATATATATATATATATAAAAGATTAATGAGTATCCTTGTCATAGAAAGAGATTTCCCTCCTTGTCGCCATGGCGCACAATCTCCACCATCTCATAAAGAGACATAAATCCCCACCAACTCACCACACTCTCTCCTACTTTATGAGGATAGTGGGGATTGTGCCACATAGGCGCTCAGGGAGGAAATCCCCTCCTATGACAGATGCATACCGCATTAATTAATCTCTCTCTCTCCTCTCTCCTAATATACTATATATATATATATATATATATAGTATAGTAACGCGAGTAAACGAGAGAGAGATGAGAGAGAGATAAAAAAAAAGAGAGATAAGTGGTATCAATTGTCAATAGGAAGGGGATTACCTCCTGACGCATGCTAAATCAATATGACTTGAGCCGAACATTATGGTGATCCGCTCCGCTTGAACTTGATCTACATATCGTAGAGAAACCCTAACACACCAAGTTTGGCGTGAATCGTCGTCGTTTGACTCCTCCATCGAGGCATAGTGAAAAGTTTATTCATGTCAAACGTTAAAATTGATAGCGAGTGGATTGAGGGTCAAACGACGTATGGCTGTCACCCCAAACTTGGTGTGTTGGGATTTGTAGAATATGTAGAGTCAAGTTCAACGGAGGCGGATCAACCCAAGAATGTCGCTCAATCATCGTGATTTTAGAAGCCGTCAAAGGAAAGAAATCTCCTCCCAGGATAACGACGCCCATTAATCTCATATTTATATATATATTAATATATATATATAATATACTAAATATATATATATAATATATAATATATATATATATATATATATATATATATATATATATATATATATATATATATAATATTATATATATATATTCATACTCACTTTAAAAACACGAGTTCAAAAAAAAAAAAAACTTTCGGTGGATAAAAATATTCTTTGAAATCAAATATTATTCCATTAAGTAAGAGTAAGTTAATAAATTGATGAATTCTTATTGGATATACATAATATGAAGATAATGATACAATTTAAATTGAAATGTAAATCTAAATAAACTTATTAAATACCAAATTTATAAATGTCTACAAAATGAAGGGCGTATATGCAAACAAATAAATAAATTAATAAGACAAATAATGTCTACCCCAAAGGTCGAAACCGGGAACAACGTAGACCAACAAATGTACATAATGTGGATGAGATATTTACAAAATCCACCAAACAAATTAAAGAGACAAAATTTATTCTCAAAATTATAAAAAAGAAAAATTAAGGAAAATAAAAAATCATACTCCCTTTAAAAGCACGAGTTCAGGAAAAGCTTCCCATAGTCAAAATTATACTGTACAATTTTAAATATTTAATTTAAATTATAATTTATACTAATCATACTTATATCCTATCCTAAAATCTCATTAACTATCTATACCTCAACAATTTAAATAAGATTAATAAAATATATGAAACATCTCCGTACTATCAATTCGTTACATGAAGTATTACAAAAAAAGCAAAAAGTTTTGAAAATTAGACAAAATACTCTCAAAAGTTTAAAATTACACAAACTAAAAAGCTAAAAATTTAGAACTTGGCAAAGAAAAGAGTAATTGTGTGATATTTTTTATTAAGATATATAAATATAACTTATAGTTTAATGTTTACTATTCTTTTTTAGAATCTGAAAATGGTCAAGTTAATACTGGTAAAAGATAGTAATAATAACAGATTAAAAATATCCAGTTAAATAATAAAAATTTAAAAAAATATATGATAAATTAAAAATTAATATTATTATATAAATTAAAGTAACTGCATATAGTTTTACCAATATGTTAGAACACCAAAAATACATAAGTATCATTAATTGATAGAAGACTAAATCACAAAAAACTGATAAAAGACTATAATATAATAACTTAATATTAATTAATTATAATTTATAAATATTAATCTCTAATGGTAATAATATTTATTAGGTAAAAAATTATAAAGATTTATGTATGGAGAACCATTAGAAAATTTAGAGATATCCTTCAAAAGAATCAAGTGGTTTTCATTTCAAATGGAATTCGGAACGTCCATGAATCACTTCAATAAACACTAACATAAGTTATATTTATCAAAAAAAACACCGACTAAATACCCCCTGAAGAATATATTGAACAACTTTGTGCTCATCAAAGAAACATTCTTCATAGAAGATAAATAAAAATTACTATACTTTGCGTAAGCAAAAAATATAGAATCGGCCTTTTTCTTTTTCTTATATAGTATCACGACCCTGCGTGTGACTTTATTTAGGGGTATGACTACTAACGAAGGATCAATTCTTAAAGACACTATCAAAGATAATGATATAATAGCACTATTAGAATTCAAGATCTCTAAGAATGAAGTAGTATATTTCTATAGTAAAATTCTATATTAAATGCCACTAAATATAAAATTCACCTTAGATCTTCTCAAATCTATAGAGTAGATGATGCAGTACATCGTAAATTGGCGTCACATAATAGATTATGATATATTATATATATATATATATATATATATATATATAATATATATATATAATATATATATATATATATATAATATATATATATATATATATATATATATATATATATATATATATATATATATATATATATATATATAATATATCAACCAAAGATACAACTTACTAAAGATATAAAAGAGTAGTAAGTAACCAAGCAAACATCCGCTATAACACCGTAAAGAAAAAATATTATATTTTAAAGCTAATATGCAGCGTTCTTTTAGAGTAAACTGCAAAGACAAAAGCATCTCCATTAAGGCTCTTTATAAATGCAACAGAAATTCAAATTACTAATATATACAACCATTATAATATTTGAAAGATTATGATATTAGAAAACCTACTCTAAAATTCATATAATTAAACCTAAGAATAATTTACCAATATACAGACACATTATCGCACCTTTAAGGCAATGATAATTACAATTTATAATAGAATTGAGCAGTGATTCTATGTTTGCAAATGCTACAAAAAGAAAGTGGATAAAAATGTTAATAATAAGTGTCCAGATGATAAATATTATAGAATTGTCGATGATTTAGTACCAATGTTAAGTGATATCCCTTCTTCATGAAATAAATATATCAAAATTAAATATTAATATTATAATCTAAAGCAAATTGACAATGAAAAATTTAATGCATTTAGTTCAGATCCTCATAGAAAATGACACATACAAAGCAAATGTAACATTATGACACAACAAAAATTCTTATTGGATGCACAACAAAATAATTCATTACAGAGAAAAAAGAGGTAGCTCATAACCTTATTTAAGTAATAAATTAAAAGCATAAAAAATTTCATATATATCAAATTAATACTTATTTTTATTAAAATAGGAAAAAAAATCAAAATCTGTATTATCAGAAGTTTGTGTTGAATATAAAAAATATATTCAACTTCTTTATGAATTTAGACGAGAAGACAAAAGATGAATGAGACCAAGGAAAGATAACATGCTCCAGTCTCATATCAAAATCGATGTAGACGATGAAGACACTACTACTCTAGAATTGGCTAGGAAAAGGTAACGATGAAGAATGATTGATCTCGACTCAATAAAAAATAAAATAGAAGTAACAAAAGATAATGTTTTGTGAATTGTTATAGAATAGTCCCCTCTTCAGTAACCTAAGGTCAATTGTCCAAAGTCCCCTTCTGATTTCAGACCTATTTCATGTTGCAACTGCATGTATAAATTCATTTCAAAGATCCTGGCAAATAGGATTAAGAAGGTGATGGGATTCCTAGTGAATGAAGCCCAATGTGCATTTGTTCAAGGCAGGCAGATTACTAGTAACATAATGCTTGCACAAGAGCTTGTTAAAAGCTATAACTGGAAGAATATATCTTCAAGGGCAATGTTAAATATTGATATAAGAAAGGCTTTTGATTCCATTAGCTGGGATTTTATATCTGATATGCTCAAGGGATTGGGTTTTCCAAGTGTTATGGTTAAGTGGATTATGTCTTGCATTACTTCTCCAAAATTCTCACTCTCATTCAATGGATCACTTCATGGCTATTTCAAGGGTGAGCGTGGCCTAAGACAAAGGGATCCTCTCTCACCATACCTCTTTATATTGGGAATGGAATATCTCTCTAGGAGTTTGAGCTTACTGAAAAATGATGGGCTCTTCAAATTCCATCCTAAATGTGGTAAGCTCAAGATCACGCACCTTATGTTTGCAGATGACTTACTCCTCTTCTCTAAAGGTGACCTATACTCAGTTGAAAAGTTGTTCCAGTGTGTCAAAAACTTTGGTCTTATCTCTGGTCTTGAAGCAAATCATAAAAAAGCTCTATATACTATGGAGGAGCTGAGGAACATATAAAGACCAGTATTAACAATCGCCTGAGGTTTGATGCAGGGGTTCTACCCTTCAAATATCTGGGATTGCCTCTCATAACCAAAAGAATGTCCACTCTGGATTGTCTTCCTCTGTTCAGAAAAATTTAAGGGCAATTCAAAAAGTGGGTTAATCATAGAAATCTCTCATATGCAGGTAGACTTCAGGTCATTAAAAGTGTGATCCTTGGAGTGCAAATTTGCTGGACATCTAATTACATTCTTCCAAAGTGTGTACTCCAAAGAATAGATGACCTATGTAGGAATTTCTTGTGGGGGAATAATAAACATGGAGGCTTGGGTATTTTCTCAGCATCTACTTAGAATATGGCATCTGCATTGCGATGTATATGGTATATTCACAACAACAAGGAGAACTTATGGATCAAATGGATTCATAGTGTATATTTAAGGCACAGAGACATTTGGCAAGTTAAAGCAAGAAATGGAGACTTGTTGACGTGGAAACAGTTGATAAAGGTCAGGGATGTTTTGGTGGTTCGCTGTGGAGGTACTGACAATCTAAAAAATCTTATCTCCTCTTGTTATAAAAATGACAAACTCAAATTGTCAGCTCTTTATAATGCTCTCTCATCTGCTCAAACTATGGTGCCTTGGTGCAAAACTGTCTGGGAGGTATCGAATATTCCTAAGCACTCGTTTGTGTGTTGGTTGGCGATACAGAATAAGCTTCTCACACAGGACAGGTTACTGAAGAGGGGAATAATCACTTCTAACACCTGTTACTTATGTTATGGAACTGGACAGGAATCTAGAGATCACCAGTTTTTTTAGTGCATTTACTCAAGCAATGTTTGGAATACTATCATGGATTGGTTGAAGTTCAATTGGAAATCTTGCCTATGGAGATACATTTTGGATTGGTACTCTAAAAGGTTGAAAGGAAGGGGATTCAAACAAAAATAAAGAGGATGGCATTAACAACTACAATCTATTGTATTTGGAGAGAACATAATGACAGGTTGTTTAATCAGAAATGCAAAGATCCTGACATCTTGGCGAAAGAAATCAAGTTTGAAATGTTAAATGTTATGCTTAACAGTCCATTATCTACTTCCTGGGAAGATTTATATTGTTGAAATCTGGGTTGAGCTTGTAATGTTGAGCATGCTCCCGGATCCATTTTTGTTTTCTTATAAGGTGTACTTATCTCTCTCATTTTGGTTATGAAATAAAAATCATTCATTGACCAAAAAAATTGTTATAGAACAGTTTTATTCTTTAGTAAAATTAGGAATCTTTAGAAGGGATTTTCATAAACTATTTTAGTGCTTTCATATGCATATGTGAATATTTTTATCATATAAAAGTGTACTAGAGTTAGCATTAATCTTCAGTTTATGATTATTTTTATTAATCATTTTATGTCATTTTAGCCCATTTTAAATCAATCATCTTGGCTAGTTGGCTTTATTATTCATCTTCACTTTATAATGTTATTTTTCCAAGTGTTTTCACTTTCATAACACTATACTTCCTCAGGTCAAGCTCGGTTTCATGCCGATCCAAATGAATTGAAAATTTAAATTGGCTTTAGATTATATTTATCTTCTGACAATTCAACTATCAACATAAAAATTTAAACTGGAAGTAACCTATTCAAACAAACATCAAATAAATAAATAATCAAAGTATAATCGAGGAACAAATTTTAGTAGAAAATAAACCAAAAATATTTAATCAAAATGAGCAAAAATTATTATCAAAGAGTAACCGATGAATAAATTTTAGTAAGAAAATAAACAAAAAATACCTAATCACGGTTTTTAACCACGTGCATAAAATCTAGTACATATATATGTGTGTGTGCGTCTATATATATATATATGTGTGTATATATATATATATATATATATATATATATATATGTGTGTGTAT